ACAGGGAATCGGTAGTGAAACTGGCAACCGAATTGTGGTAATACTTTCCATGAAAGATCCGTCACATCCTGATTTCTCGATGACTCATTGTGGCACTATATACACGCAATTCGCAGTTACTATCGTACGATGGGCGGTGGGTAGCCTAGTGGTTAAAGCGTTGTCACGCCGAAGACCCGGGTTCGAATCCTCACATGGGTACAATGTGTGAAGCCCTTTTCTGGTGTACCCCGCCGTGATGTTGCTGGAATATTGCTAAAAAGCGGCGTAATACCAAAGTCAAGTCAGTACTATCGTATGACGTGGCTAATATCAGTTTCTAATAATGACCTATCGCATTCCCCTTCCTCCACGTGGCCAGTGACACTTAGATCCTGATCATCCCAACACATGGGATGTACATCACTGAGACGGATATTCAAGTCATTGCGACAGGCTATCTATTCTCAAATAGTTACAATATACTCCACACCTTGGTTCGATCATAGGATGGTGTCTATTTTAAGTGAGTCGAGGTAGCACAGTTATCAAGGCGTTTGCTTTGTGCGTCGACTAGCGTTCGACTCCACAAATATAACTGGTGTCCTTATTCACTATCTTGTCCTGTACCATGACTGTTGGATATCTTGTTTTGTTCTTGTTTTCTCGTCTAGTCAATAACAGTCTGGTCAATAATTAGTACATTGGACATCTGGGAAGGGCTGTAAGAATATAAACAAGCGACACTAATACAGATTGGAATACGTCTTCGACTCGCTAAGTTTTTCCATATGAGTGGTCGTTCTAACTTGTTACAATGTCAGAAAGAGGGTTCTTTAGTAATATTGCCCAAAATGAATACACGTGATATCAAACTCTGATTTTACCAAACCAAAATGTTCTAGGCGACATAAACATCTCACAGAACACGCATGATATGACTGCGGTACTAATGGATGCACTACTGTGTAACCAGAGTAACCGTGTTGCATAGTGATGGAGGATCAATACTAGTGCATTACAATTACCTGTGACATTTTGGATAACTGTTAGGTCAGCTGGTCAGGGGCAGGAGTGGCCAAGGGGTCCTTTCGCCGCTGTTCGGCCTGACTGTGTTTATTGGTTACCATGCTCGTGTGTTGGGGTTTGACAGAAATGGTAAAGGTCTGAAAAGTGCATCACGTCGATCTTTCTCCCTCATCAGTGAGTGAGTGACTTTAGTTGCATTCAGCAATATTCCAGCTACACGGCGGCGGTCCGTAGATAATCGAGTCTGGACCAGACAATCCAGTGATCAACAGCATGAGCATCGATCTGCCCAATTGGGAACCGATGACATGTGTCAACCAAGTCAGCGAGCCTGACCACCCGATCCTGTTAGTCGCCTCTTACGACAAGCCTGGGTTACTAAAGATCAATATTCTAACCCGGACCTTCACGGGTATTATATGATCAGACTGTAAAGGAATAGTGTAGAATATGGTTTAAATCTTACTCAGGATTTTAAGGTACGACAAGTCAGAGATGAAATCATAGCAATGAAGTAATTTTCAGCGATTTTGTAAACTAGATATACATGTTAAGAAGTACACTCGTGCCTTTATCGTTCATTGTACAGAATATAATCAGAATACATGTCGCAATATAATGATATAATTACGTTTCTTGACCCCGCGTTTACATTTACAAAACGTGATGGTGACATACTACCAGTATGGTATGCTGAGGATCAGTTCTAACCCGGATCTTCACGGGCCTCATATAAGTGGAATACTTTTTTAAAAGCAGCGTTACATGCAGCTCACTCATAATGGCCAGGAATATTTGTGCATTTGACAATATAGATTTCCAACGACTTTAAGCCCTTCGAAAGCGACTCTTACCCCCTCAACAGTTTAAAATATCCCAACGAGTTGTAGTGCTAAAGTAACGGTGACTCGCTTATTTGAGCGCGGTTGTGTCAATAAGTGATTTGACCAGTAGTCATCTGTGTCGAAGTGATTGTCCGATACCGAGGAATTTCTTGAAACTTCATCCTTATCTTTGTGCGGCATGTATGTCGTTATATCTAAAGTAACGAATGGGTTGATAGTGTAACCCAAGAGACGGCGATTTGAGCGAGCATACTGTGGAATTGTCATCACTAATCCTGAATGTTGTCGAATGTGTTTCTGTACACATAAATGTACACCTTGTCCACCAACACGTCAGCTGTTCGTAACACGTAATATAACATCACTGCTGTATGATCGACACATCGAGTGAGTGAGATAAGTTTTACACCGCTTTTAGCAATAGTCCAGCAATATCACGGCGGAAATGAGCTTCACACTCGACACATCGAGGGTGCAGGTATGAGTTAATGGTCCAACTGCAGCCTTTACGGTAAATTCATATTTCTTATTACTGATACACAGCTGTTTCGTACAACGTTTTGATCGAGGAGGAACTTAAAAGGTTGTGTGTACTTTTGATGGTGCAATTGGCATACAAAACAAATGTGCAATTACACTGAAAGGAAAGAGATTACTTCACATTAAATTTTTTAAGACATGTTCTCTTTTTCCATGTCTGTTTATCTGATTGTGTGAATGTACAGTTCACCGGGCACCTGCCTTTACTCATATCAAACAGCACGTGGGGTTTCATAAAAAGGTGATGACGAGACGAGCTGCTGAACATATCTCGCTTGCGATCAGCCCTGATTAAGAGAACGTTCTTACCTAAAACACGAGCAAAACCTGTCATCGTGTCACATCCTGAGTTGTAAGTATGTGGCACATTGCTATCATATAGACTACTTAGGGGTTTCTTCCCGCATGAACACGCCTAATTCAAAGGATCTATGAGCCTATTTGTGTTTGTATGAGTGTGTCTGTGAGTGCATGTGTTCTTGTGCCTCCTTCTGTATGTGTACGACTACGAGTACAGTGTATATACATGTATGTGTCTCTGTGTGAGTATGAGTGTGTGAGTATGTAACGTGTGTACGTTTTCGTGTATGATTATACACGTGTGAGTGTGTGTGTGTGTGTGTGTGAAGGCTAGTGTAACTATGTTTATATTTACTTCTGTGCCCTGTTCACTGAACCCGAAACTAGTTCACATACCGTACAAAACAACACCAACAAAAGGCAAGGTATGGTAAAAATGCTGACGCAGCTGTTTATGGCTTCGTTCGACAGAAGAAATATTTTTATGAAAAACAGTAAAAGTTTATTCCATGTCATATACTGAAAGCAATACTTCACACTCAGGATTACCCATCACTGGTATTTACATAAATTCCCAGAATAAAGAGCAGCTGGGACATGGACAACTGTAAATGTGTTTTACAATTTGCCCTGTCTGGAGATCTGACCCCTATCCCTGACCGTGACGAGATAGCGTATTCCGAACATGGATACCAAATCTCCCGATAAACCATGGGTAGGGCCGATACGGGCTCCTATATTCGTTATGTCAGGAAGACCGGTCGGCCGCAGCCACATAAACGGGCAATAGTAAACAGCATGTGTGCGTCGTACGTTCGCTACCACTGAAACAACACTATTATTAGCAGTGAGGAAGGGTGCTGTGGTTTGTGTAGAAACACTGATGTAACATTAACACGTATGATTCACACACAAATTCCATTGATAACATCTACAGTCCATTCCCGTCTGTCGGTGATGTCATCCCTTTAACGTTACACGCATGAAGGTGTATCCCTAACACCGAAATAGACACACGATTCGGTAATTATTGCAACCAAATAAGGAACAAAGAGCACACAGTGTTGAAATGAAACTAAGCACAATTTCTGACAAATACTTTATCTGTACATGGTATTTCCTTGAGTAGACTATTGGACATTATAGCACATTTAAATGCGTCTTTGTGTTTCATAACTGTTTTTATGTGACGAGACTGCCATGTGTTAATTCTATATATCCCATGTATGACAATCCAGATGCTGTCGTCACGAGGTCAGCTGTAGGGTGTCATATGCAGCTGATTGGATTTGGACTCCAGTACGTGACAGCAACAGTATAGGGTATGGCATACAATATACATTCATATGTTATACACCAGTAAACGATTAGTTCCGTGTTATCAGTGTAAAACAGCTGAACACTTCATGACCAGATGGTTAGGGCTAACGCCTCGTCTAAGGAGATCTCGTCGTCCTTGTCAAGCAGTCACACTTGCTGGACATCATTATAAGCTTCTATACATAAACTAATAAAGACGTTGTAGTCCAGATGTTGCCTTAGCTTTGCCATCTGTCAGCTTCTAAGTAATGCCTATCAACAATTCGTTTGACAATAAGTAGTGTTAACTGGTCTGGGGCCAATGGGTCACGCGTGTAGGTCTGCTCACCATGTATACACCATTGCTCACCTGTAATACTGCATTTCCTACATATAGAGTGATAAAGTACACACAGGTGATTATTAAACTTTTAATGACACCGAATGATACCAGCACATCTGGCTTGACAGTTAATACAGGTGCAGGATCGTTACACTAACTGTATCGTGTCGCTGTAAATGTACTTTATTGTAACACATGTGTTCCAAACAAAAGGTCGCGCCATTTACTATAAACGTCAAATACACAACCAGTGGTTTGGCGTACAGCAACACTTAGCGCTAGCAAATCACTGTAGGTATGTGCTTTATCGCTCGTTGGATGAATCAGATATCAGATTGTACCCAGTACGTGGTAAATATATGCCATACCAATAACAACATATATTCCTGTCATAAGATAAATTAAATATAAAGGTAAAATACAACTCGATTCAAAGCTGAGAGTATTGCGTTTGACAATTCTACATGTGCCATTTATGTATATCTATTCCATTCAAACGTTTTGATAACCTGTCTAGCTATGCTACATGGCCCGGGGTATTGTAATCAAACTGTTGTATGTCCAGTGGTGTATGGGTATACCCGCCTGGGGTGAGACACATATCGCGGACATCTTTATCTAGTACGTGCTTGTCATGGGCTAAAAGATAAAGCGGACCCACTCACCTGAATTAAATCCAACAATAGCGGCCACAGCTCCCCAGAGTATAGTATGTATCCAACTCGGTTTAACCGGCGTCCGTAAAACACAGTGTGTCTTCCCAGAGTTTGTCATCATTCCCAAGTACCATCCAATATATGTAATGTGTCGTCTGCTCACAAGACAGGCTTGTCTACCTGCTTCGCCGTCTGAGTGGGTAGATATACGGACTGTGTTCGGGTCATAACTGGTGACTGACTCAGAAAGTGGCTCCCGTCCTACGAGAGGTTTGGTCCTACATTGATAAGTGAAGAACTCACAGGTAAAGATCGGCCTTCCCAGCGCACAGGAATATTTACTGAGCTAACACCACGGGGACGAGCCACGGCGAGGGATTCCCCGCTGTCAGACCCTCGCTTCGTCAGCCTCGGTATAACACTGTACGAATCACCGGCTTATGAATATTCATAAGTTCGTGCTCCAGTTCCGCTTTGTCCCTGTCTGTGGAATCGAGGCATGTCAACGCGCGGGGCATGTTATTCAAACACTGCAGGCATTCCGTAGGCTAACTATATTCACAGGGCTTTACCAAAGAAAATATATATTCCAGATTTCTGGGATATTTTACTTTTCAGTGCAATACGATAGTGTCACGTCCTTACGCTAAGTAGGCATTCCGTTCTCAGTCAAAGCAGTTCATCGATCTTCTCAGGCCGCTTTCTCAGGGAGTTGTTGCCTTTCATTCGTTCATTATTGTCAGTGCCATATTGATCAATCGGTAGTTTAAAACCAGTTACAATAAAGCACGCATTTACGTTAATATGCATACATTGTATAACGAGGTATACGTCTGCGAAATTCAATACCGAAAACAACATGTTGCAGTTATCTGTGGAATGAGGATGTTGTTTCAAATGGGTAAAAGCTTGTCACTATATAAGTTAATGAATTTCTTTGATGATTTTAGAAATACGAAATCAAAGCGCAACCATTTGCTTATCAGTTACATATCCCCCGTATGAGTAATTCCGGACCCCTTTCTGTATTCCGAGTCAAGATTTAGCCCCAGACTAACGCTCAGTCTCTGAATGTACTTATTTTTTTTATAGAACCAACTATCTCGGTTTATTTTGAAAAGGAGATCCAGTAAGCTGGGAGATTGTGAACCTGAGGAAAAGCTAGACTTGCTTCATTAAGAGGTGAGGTGAAATTGGGTTTTAACGTCGTGCTTGAGAATATTTCACTCATATGACGACGTGCATGCGTGTGTATGTGTCTGTGCGGCTGCTTGTACTAGCCCAGACTGAAGCTGGTTTTATAGTGCTAGCCCACTGAGATACCATGCCGCAGTGAAGCATGAATACCCCACTCAGACACATTATGCTGACTCCGAGCCGACCAGTCCTTGTTGTACCCATTAATGCCGAGCGCCAGGCAGGGACCAACAAGTACCATATTTTAACGCCTTTTGGTATGACGCGATCGGGGATCGAACCCGCGACCTTCCGCTCTCCGGGCAGACGCTCTAACCACTACACCACGGAGGCGGTCGCTTCATTAAGAGATTTAGCATTGCAGAATGGGTTGGGGGGAAGGAAATAAGGGTGGTTCAGGGACTGAAACAGATTGTCTGGGCCCCCAGTAGCATGTCCTGATTCACGTGGCGACGGACTGGATCGGATGGTTAATGTTAATGTTAATGTTATTCATTTGTATAGGTCACGATATGGCTGAAATATTGCCAAAGTGACTTTAAATTTTAACTCACTCACTCACTCATTTGTATAGGGCTTATTTCCAATGAAACGCTGATTACCCCGGATAACCCAAGCTGCCTAGGAGGCGCGAGCAGGTTAATAGTCACATGAGTTATCCGACCGGGTACCCATATTCTGCTGGGTGCACAGAGGCAGTTCATGAACAAACTCACTTGCCTAAGGTGAGACCACATGTATCTCATGTGCTTCGTTGTGGGCTAGGACTGAAGCCCTAGAAACTCTCAGGAGTCACGCTGACAAACACGTCACGCTCAGTAACTTGGTTAAGTGCATGCAAACCTGTTGTGCACATTATCGATTGTTGGTGTGGATTATTACAGGCGGCCGTTATACAACCTGAAACAAAGCAATACAGTAGTGCCGTATCAGATACATGTCACAACAGCAGGTTGCGGGGATGTGTGCAAGTAAGTGAGTGTGGTTTTACGGAGCGTTCATAATTTATGGAGGGGGGTGGGGTGGAAGTGGGTGGGGGGTGGTGTGTGGTGATTTCCACTTACTTTGTACATACATTTTATGGTGGGGTGGGGGGCAACATGCTTCTCCCTAAAAATCCTTCTCCGTGAAACCCATGAACAGGGGTGTGGTGCAGACAAACCTTGAAACATAATCGGGACGAAGCGAGATTCGACCCAATAACTATACATGTAGGTTACCTGCACTGCACATCGGGCAGCGCCCGGGACGTGCTTACACTACTGACCCAATCGTGTCCTCGCACGAACAGTGAATCTCACTCGAGTTTCTTTTTATATCAAATACAGAAACACTAGTCGCCTAAATATCAAAAGAAGATCTGTAATCGGTCTGGGACTAACAACCTAGTGATCAACATCATGAGCATCGAGCTACGCAATTGGGAGCCGTTAATCGCCTCCTAAGACTAAGTCTTGTGAACAACTTCGTCCATAGCGCTGATGTAATATTCCAACTGGACTCTCGAATAATCGTAACCGGTTTCTGACAAGTGTCACCTGAGAGGGAGCAGGACTCAGCTTGTGATTTGTTAACAAAAATCTTTACACGAACCCGGTTACACATAGTGGTGGACTTTCCTTTTTGCAATTACACTTGCAGCTGCAGATAATACTTATAATAAGTGTTACTGACACGCCCACCTACTAGTACCAGTACTACTGACACGCCCACCTACTAGTACCAGTACTACTGACACGCCCACCTACTAGTACCAGTACTACTGACACACCCACCTACTAGTACCAGTACTACTGACACACCCACCTACTAGTACCAGTGCTACTGACACGCCCACCTACTAGTACCAGTGCTACTGACACGCCCACCTACTACTAGTACTACTGACACACCCACCTACTAGTACCAGTGCTACTGACACGTCCACCTACTAGTACCAGTGCTACTGACACGCCCACCTACTAGTACCAGTACTACTGACACGCCCACCTACTAGTACTACTGACACACCCACCTACTAGTACCAGTGCTACTGACACGTCCACCTACTAGTACCAGTGCTACTGACACACCCACCTACACTACTACTACTACTGACACACCCACCTACTAGTACCAGTACTACTGACACGTCCACCTACTAGTACCAGTGCTACTGACACGCCCACCTACTAGTACCAGTACTACTGACACGCCCACCTACTAGTACTACTGACACACCCACCTACTAGTACCAGAGCTACTGACACGTCCACCTATTAGTACCAGTGCTACTGACACACCCACCTACTAGTACCAGTACTACTGACACGTCCACCTACTAGTACCAGTGCTACTGACACGTCCACCTACTAGTACCAGTGCTACTGACACGCCCACCTACTAGTACCAGTGCTACTGACACGCCCACCTACTAGTACCAGTGCTACTGACACGCCCACCTACTAGTACCAGTGCTACTGACACGTCCACCTACTAGTACCAGTACTACTGACACGTCCACCTACTAGTACCAGCGCTACTGACACGTCCACCTACTAGTACCAGTGCTACTGACACGCCCACCTACTAGTACCAGTGCTACTGACACGCCCACCTACTAGTACCAGTGCTACTGACACGCCCACCTACTAGTACCAGTGCTACTGACACGTCCACCTACTAGTACCAGTGCTACTGACACGTCCACCTACTAGTACCAGTGCTACTGACACGTCCACCTATTAGTACCAGTACTACTGACACGCCCACCTACTAGAACCAGTACTACTGACACGCCCACCTGTTTGCACCATATTCGGGTGTTCGGTGTGTCGTTTTAACCACTCCGTCGCTCCTGCTTCCATGTTGCAAAAATTACACAAGGTAAGACGTTGACATCAATCTATACATAATCCATACATCACAACAAACCCATTTATAGACAAACATATCAAACGCGTTGTTCCCAAAACAACAACAGGCACACGAAGAGACAAATAGAAGTGGCAAAACCCTTTCCACATCAAAAAGAAATCTCTGTTAAAAGCAGAGTCGCTTGTACAATTCCGACTATATTATGCCCATGTGTTTGTTGTATTTTCCGTTTGTCTCATCTTAATACAGCTGTATGACGGCGGTCTGAAAATAATCGAGTCTGGACCAGACAATCACGCACACACACCACGCGTACACACACGCATGTGCGTGTTCGCAAACACACATGTCGAGTAATCCCTCTTTGTTGCATGAGATCGCACACCAATCACATGATATGATTATGTAGCCGGTCCTGTATTCCGTCCATTTATATGCTCATGTAGCCTGTCGTATTCATATACATGATGCATGTTATCCTTCAAAGTGAGTGAGTGAGGTAATATTTTAAGTCACATCGGCAATATTTCAGCTATATCGTGACTAAATCAAGTTATAGATTTATAATGATTAAAAGTAAATTGTAAACAACTGTCAACGAAGGACAGTAAAACAACTAGGCTATCACAGATAGAAATTTAAAACAAGTAATTAAATCTAAAACACTTTAACTACAGAAGACGATACAATATAAAGCCAGGCTGTAGATCGCCAACAACTGAAGGTAGATCACCATACTAGGGACCATGGGGACTTACAGTATTTTAGCTACCTGCATGGACCCTAGCTAGATTTACACCATCCCTTCAGTCGCTGGCGATTGTAGAAATATTTAGCCAAACTTAAAATCACAAAAATACTACGTTTACAAAAATCCTGGTAAGTGTAAATTTACTTTGAAAGTTTAGGGACTTACGTACTCTCTCAGGAGGACCCTTCAAACTGAAAGATTAAAACTTGTATTTGATGGTTTATAGTGTACAGATGCTGCAACGTTGGAGTATAGTTCTATATAGTTCAACCAATACTGCATTGGAATAAATGTTTGTTTACTTTCTGAATTATGACATGATGTTTGTTGATGTGATTTCAGTAGAATGTCAACGAATCATTTCCCTTGCATAAACAAACCTGTATTAATATGTGTACCACAAACCGTGATGTGACAGTTCTCTACCCAATTACCCCGACGGTACATCAACTGACGTGTGTAGTCATCACTGGGGGCTTGGGGTCAGGTAGTATTCACGGTTGCCGTCTCCCACGTTCTGGGGGGTTTTCAGTGTGAATCACTGATTATAAAAAATAAGATAGATAGTTTAATGTCTATCTTTGCGAGTGCCAGGTGCAAGTCAAACGAATTAAGCTAT